GGCTTGTCTGATCTACCGATGTTTAAAGAGCAAAGAAGCTATGTCCATCCACACTCTACTCACATCAAAATGACATCGGCATGTTTTCAAGGTCATTGTGGAGTAAGTATATTAAAATCACGAAGACACCGCAATCATGGCTAGATAAAAATACAAAACAATATATTAGGAATGAATAGAACATTAAATCCTGTGTTTATAATTGAGAAATGCAGTCACAAACTCATCTATTTTGTTGATGAAGAATTTCTTCACTAACAATTTTTGTCTTCAACTCCATTCGATCATCAACACGATAAAAGTCACAATTCTGGATAGTAACGCAAAAAATTCACACCTAAACAATCAAGAATGATTATATGAGCTCATTCTAGATCTTAAAAGATAAAAGACATAGTTAAACATGTTTGTTGTTGAACTTGTGGTTATTTTACCTGTAAACCAACTTGCTTCGAGGATTATATACTATCATTTCTACAACATATAATTAGACAGACATAGCATCAAAATCAGAAAAGGTAGACTTGATTTTGCAAAACAGTGAAAACAACAAAACGCACACATGAAAATGGGGCTGTCAGACCCATTCTTCAAAATCAACAATGGGTGTTTTAAGGAAAGAGTTCACAAATCAGGTTTTAAGTTTCACCAATGCAAAAACTAGGTTTCAAGTCTAAAAAATGCAAAACTCCGGTATTTAGTTAATTAATTAAAAATAATTATTATTTAAATATAATAGGTCACAGTTTACTTTATTGGTCACGGATCAAAAAATTTAAAGGTCACAAATTAAAAAAATTATAGATCACGGTTTATCTTTCGATCACATATTTCCAAATTTGTTGGTCACGGATTATATTTTTAGTCACAGATTATCGAATTTTAATGTCACGGTTTAATAGTTAGTCACAGAGAACCAAATAGTTGGTCACATACACCCAAACACTCATCCCCTAAACCCAATCTACCACCACTATTTGGTTACAAATCGATCAAATAGTTGGTCACAGACACTCTTTGTCCCATCCCTGCCGCCGCCACAACCACCACCAACAACACGCCACCACCCAAACCACCACCGTCGTCGCCTACATAGCACCACCAACATCGTCGCCCTGTCACAACACCACCGAACCGAACCGCACCTCACCATCGCTGCTCTCACAGCAAGGATCACAAACCACACCAAAACCTCCGCCATCGACCACCACAAATCACAACTCCACATATCTGTGCGAAGAAATTAAACTAAGAAAAAAATTGTTCCCACCGCCTCTGCCTCACACCAGCACCATCATCCCTTTTCTTTTCCTACTCAATCTGTAGCGCCGGCGACGATGGGGCTTTTTTTTTTTTTTTTGCCTTTTCACCATCACCATCACCGCTACCATGTTATTCTTCCTTTTCACCCTCACACTCGCCTAATCCCCACTAAAATCAATGGAAAAAGATGGCGACACCGCCTCTGAATCTCAATCCCTATCTCTCGATGACGAGAGCTCCGTTATTCGCCTCCCTATTTCGGAGATTCTCAACGCCGGCGAAAACAACCACCCAATTGAACCTGATTCTTTGATCGTTCACTTTGTACCGTTGGATCTAGCCACCTCTAGATTCCATTCGATCAATCGTCAGTTCTATTCGAGGACGAAGTATCCCGTCCACAACTGCCGCCACCACTACCATCTCAATCGTGACGACTTCTTCAAAATGAATTCCATGGAAAGGAATGAACGCTTAGAATGGGAGGGATGGAATGAAGATATGGGTGATGATTTGGGATTTTAGGATTTTTAGGGTTTGGGTAGTATTAAAATTTTGAATTAATATCTGATTTTTATATAAATAAAGTTTATATCTAATTTTGAATTTTAATTTTTAAAATTTTGGTTTTATGTAATTTAATTTTTTCTTGATTTTAGATCAAATCGATCATGTTATGTTGTATTTAAATTGGATAAAAAATCGACCCGACCCAATTCAATCCACGCCTAGCCTAATTCAAACATTTCAAGTCTCTACCAATTATATCCCAATCTTTCATTTATTGCACCCGTGGTCCCAAATCTTTTAAATGCGTATGCCTGGAGTACAAATGGACAGTTTCAGTCTATAAGTTCATGAGTTTACCCAAAAAAATTATTTTGATCCATATTATTAACTTCAATAAGTGTTAATTAATAACTTTATAAAATGATTAAATAAAAAACTCAAAAAAAGTAAAGACTATATTTTTCTATTATGTTTTAATAGTAGACTCTGTCCATATTTGGTAAGGATTAAAATCTAAATTTTAATTTAAGTCAAAGTGAATCATTAATTTTAACCTTCCAAAAAAATCTTTTTTTTTTTTAATTTTGACTTTAATTTGGTTTGATTTTATTGTTATCGAGAGAGACAATAGAGTTTAAGCATGATATAATAAATATTTTAACCATCATCAAAGTCACTCATTATTTAAGTCAAAATCAATTGAAAAAAATGATAAAAACGATAATAAACATCCAAAAATCAAACCAAATTAAAGTCAAAATAATTAATTAAAAATATCATAACGATGATTCATCTCATCCTACTAATGTATAAAACTAGTCTAGCATATTGGAATTACAAGAAATCATATTAAATGTATAGAATATCATCCGGACTTGTGAATTAACGAATGAAGGAAGATGAATCTGGGCATTCTTGAATTTTTTTCAAAGTAATTTTGATAAGTTTTCAATAATTCTTTTGCTTCTTTGCCCACAAATACCAGGTTTAATCTCCAGTTGATGAGTTTTTGAACTTCGCATTGGAAATTTTTTCATAATATATGATTTTGCCCCTCTTTTATGAGTATGAGACGTCTATGAGAGATATCTCTAATTCATTCTACTATAAAGTATTTGTAGAAGTCGAAAATTGGTTGAAAATCACGTCCAAATCGGTTTCCAAAAGAATTTCAATCGAATAAGAAAAATTGTCATTGCCCGAGCATGTTTTTGTCTCTGCAAAGCATTCGGTATTTTGATCATAACTTTCTCTTCCGATATCTAATTGAATCAATTCAAAGTGTTGGAAATCTAACTCATAGGGCTACAAATTTTCTAGAATTATAATTTTTCAAATTTGTACATTTACCATACCAAAAATGGGTCACAATCTTTAATCAAAAATCTAGAATATAACTTGTGTCATTGGAAATTGATTTGTGATAATATCTTGATCATATTTCATTCATTTTTGACTTCTAATTACATCCAATTGTCTTCTAAAAATCTTCAAAATGTCATCTTGTGGTCCGAATCAACTATTGAATATTAGTAATTTGGTTCTCAAACTTTGGACTTCGTCATTTTTCACCAATTTCTCTTTTTTCTTTCAATTCCTCGTTCAACCATTGAGTTTTACTTATATAACATAAAATATAGGGAGTGTTTGACACCCATTTTAATGGGTTGAAAATTTTTGGAATAGTGATTGATGGGAGAATGTGTGGTGGAAAAATGATGAAAAGTTTTAGATTTGTGTGTAATATTATTTTATTTGGAGATTGTGTGGTTGAAATGAAAAAAGAGAATGAGAATGAGAAAGAGAATGGGTGCCAAACAGGGGCTAAAAAGAATTTGAGAATGGAGGAANAAACGGGTAACATATGCACTTCTTACTTGTAGAAAACTGATTGACTAGGTGTTTGACACCCATTTTTTGGAGAATAAAATTTTTGAAATAGTAATTGATGGGAGAATGTGTGGTTGAAATGAAAAAAGAGAATAAGAATGAGAATGAGAATGGGTGCCAAACAGGGACATAATAAATATCGTTATTTTAGGCCCCCAAATAAGTGTATAAAATACGCTTATCACATAACATAACACATGCATTTCCATCTTCATTTATTCTAATTCATGTATGCCTCTATCAAAATTGACATTCAATCTTCCCTTCAAAATGCTAGAAGAGTAATTTAAAATGAAGTTTTGAAAGTTTTGAATTATTATAGTAACTTTGAATGTGTTGAATTAGTAAAAAAAAACTTATTTAAAATCATTGTATGGGATTTTATTTAACTATTTATCGAATATACCATATAAAGTTTTATTTAAGGCCCACAAAATTTCAAAATCGATCCTGAGTACGACCCCATAAGATCAGATCGGGTAACTACATTGTACCAGAGCCAAGTTATGTACAATGTCAATAATTAGAGATGCAAGCATGTTAGTAGAACTTTGGGACAGGCTTATTAGAAGTAGACTAAAGTCACTTCGAAGTACAAAAGTTAGTACTCCTAATGCATCGCTTCTGCTGGAAATTAACTTTCTATTGCTTTTCATAAAATTGTGGATCGTGCAATTTACTGCCCTCACAGTTGCCCACAATACCGTTTCATATGTTGCATTGGCTTTCGATACTCCTATTTGGGGCGATTGTATCCCCTTTTTGTTTTGATCACCATTCGCAGTGATTTATCTATATGATATGCTGGTGCTGGTGCTGGTTTACACAAAAAAGGATATGTTGCCGCCGCGCCACATGGTTTCCAGCCACTATGTCTCCCTTCTAGTTGGCTCCATTGACACTATTCATCCTCACCGCTCATCTCGGAGGAAGCTCAAGGTCGAGTGAGATGAGCAGATCATAATGGTTGGGTGTGAACAGGGGCGGAGCAAGAAAATGATGTTATGATGGGCTGAAACTGAAAAAATTTCGAATGAACCCACACCACAAGAAATCGAGTTTCAGTGGCTATTCTCTGACATTCACGATAAAAGAAAATATATGGAACTCAATGAAATA